AGCCCTACATGGCTTAGGACCAGCATACCTGCGAGACCACCTACTGCCACATTCCTCCCAACAGCCGGTGAGATCCCACAGAGTTGGCCTCCTTCAGATGCCGTCAGCCAGACAGTGGCGGCTCCCCGGAGGAGGGCCTTCTCTGTGGCTGCCCCGACCCTTTGGAATGAACTACCCCCAGAGATCCGGACCTCACCCACTCTCATGGCCTTCAGAAAAGCTGTTAAAACCTGGCTTTTCCAGCAGGCCTGGGGCTGGTGACCTCATTGTTGAGGTCCAGCCCCGACTGAAACGAATGTATTTGTGTCGTTTTAACTTGTCTTATTTTATTTTTATTTTCTTTTATTTTCTTTCTTTTCTCTTCTGTAAGCTGCCCCGAGTCCTTCGGGATTGGGCAGCCTATAAATAAAATTAAACTTACAAACTTACAAACTTACTATGGCTAAGAGAAAGTGACTATCCCAAGGCCACTCAACTGGCTTCATGGCCAAGGTGGACCCCTAGTTCATGGTCCCCTAGTTCCTAGCCAGATGCCTTCACCATTACACCAAATTGAATATATAAGTGCAAATAATATTTGTTATTCCACTTTAAATGTGTTTCCTCTGGTTTGCTTTTTCAGTTTATTCTATAAACTGTTACTCAGTTATTCTATAACAAGATAGAAAAATTTAATTTTATTTTTTCCCCTCACACCCTTTTTTCACTCTCCTGGATAAAAATTAATCATGGTTATGCTCTCTTTTCATGCAATTTGGCATTGTTCTTCAGAATATAACATTTTCCCGTCTTAGCAATCAGGCTAAATGTTTAAAACAGATGTAAAGCATGGCAATAAACTAAGATGTGATTCTCCCTAAGTGGAAGGAAACTGCCACTTGCAACAGCTTAGTTACATTTAACAATTGAACACAGTAGGGGTGTTAAATAGGTAGCACAAATTCTAATATTTTGCTATTTAAAATGAACATTTCCTTATTTCTGTATGAATATTCTATAAACGTATATCTTTGATGCATTATAGTAAAAGTAAGATAATGTTTTTCTTCTAAAATATTGATTCGGTGGTAATTTGAAACCCAATAAATGTGGGTGTTTCCATTGCCAAGAAAGCAGTTAAAGGCCACATTTTCAGGAGTATTAACTTTGCCTCTAAAGAAATAGCACTTTTAAAACAGACGGCTGTTTATGTACATTGACATTTCCCTTAAACATTATTCTTAAAAATAACGAGTACCATCCAATTTGCAATCGGTTCCAGTCCCAAAATGACTAGTAATAAATGCAGATCTGTTTGTCCTAAAAAAAAAATACTAATTGAGGCTTCTGCACTGACGAGATTTAATCTCATGGCCTAAATTTATGATTTTAAGTTTACAGTAAGTTGTTTCTTTCTATAATCTCTTCAAGAGTTAATTA